ATATAATATATGTCAAAGAAAGTATATTAAATATTATAGTTTATTCAGTATTCGTGATATAATTTGATATAATTTTTTATCGATAATAAAATGTTACATTCAATATATTCAATATATTTAATATATATTATACATATATTATTTGAACATGTCGTGTTTGATCGGTGGTACTAACTAACACTATAATCACGGCTTGACTAGACCACATGCTTTATAATTGGCCAATGTTTTTTGTGTAACTTGTTAACAAAAGCATAATGAAAGTATTTGAAATTACTTTAAGATTCTCCAATTAATGGATATTCCCATATTTTTAAGATATCCTATATATAAAAATTAAATTAATTTATTTTTATATTGTAAAATATATTGGTATTTTAAAATCAAAAACAATAAATATTTAGATCTTAATTATAATATCTCAAGAAAGAATAAAAATAAGAAAATGTTAATTAATCAACTTTATTATATTAAAAACAAATTAAATTAGAATTTTTTTTGAAATAAGATAATGTATTTCATAATTTCACACATTTTTTTCTTTTTTAATATATTTGTATAAATATGTTATTTATTTATATTATTGTTTAATTAAAAAAAAAAGAAAAAGTGAAAAATTCTATAAAGATTGTAAAAGTTTAAAAATTAAATTGAAATTATCAAAGTTATCAGTCATATATGTTATTATGTTATTATATATTGTTATTTTTAATTATATTACTAATAATAAATACAGGAAGACATGTAAAAAAAAAACATGTGAAAAAAAGAATAAAAAGAAGATTTTGTCCAGTGAATTAAAAGGAAAATGAGCCAATCACAACATAGTAACGGCCAATGAATCGGGAGAGTTCGGTTAAGCGAGGTAAGAACGGTTCATTTCGTGAATCTTTCGCAATTCGCTTCAGTTTGCCACGAGGGAAGGAACGTTTGTTTCGCGATAGAATGTTTTTTCATGCTGCAGTTTATATCTATCATATATAGGCAGCTTTAACTAGGTGGATTAACATGCGAAATTATTCATTTTTTACACCTAACTGATATATTTCCTATGGAAATATGCATGGTGTATCAAACGTTAATCAGAATCTTTTTGGCGATGCCGTTTGACAGTTTAACTCTTTTTTAAGTTTGAAATAAATTCACTTTTCTGGCTTGATATAATTGTTAAAAGGATCCGTAAATTATACGCCAATTGGAATTTACTTCAAATGGATTGATCTTTTCTCTTGATCAAGGAATTTTGTTCGGTGAGTGTTTACTTTTACTTTTCTGAATGATATACACACACGCACGCATACATACACACACACAATAATTTGATGTTGCCTTATATAAATATTTGAGAAGATTCAATGCTTGAATAAATATTCCGTTTTACTATTATTAGAGATCCTATATAGAATTCATATAATAAAAAAATGAAAAAATTTACGGAATATTTATTGCGTTATATTTTTTCATTCATTGAATTTAAATTTCATTGTATTTATTTTATATTAAATTTTAATTTTTTAAATATTGTTAATTAACTATCGTTATTCTCAGTTTTTAAAATGATTTTAAAGAGTAACATGCAATTTGTTTATTTTGATAGGATTTAAACATTTGTATCGTATTTGAATCTTATTTATATTTAAAGAAGAAGAAAAATAGGATTTTTAAGAAAGAAAAATAGAATTTAATAATATTCTTAATAATTCCTAAATGATTTCAAATTGTGATTATTATTTTTTTATACGATTGTAAATATTATTAGAAAAATTTTATAAGTCATAAATGTTTTATTTTAAAGTTTTATTTTAAAGTCATACAAGTTATTAATATTAATAAATTCTCTTGCATATAAAAAAAAAAATATAATAAAATGAATAAAATTTTATAAGTAAATTAAAAAGATATAAATAATAACTATTGTACTATTATCATAATATAATTCATTTTACTATAAATACAATAAATATTTTCATATCTCTCATATCTATTCGAAAATTGTTTTTAATTTTTGTTTTTAATAAAAATATGTTTTTAATAAAAATATTGCTTACATTACATACAAAAATTCTACTTTTAATAAAAATATGATTAGTATGAATAGTATGAATTCATACTTTGTATGAATAGATGTAGAATAAGTAAAAATAGAATTAATAGACATAAGAAGATGATAAAATAGGAAGACAGATTTTTTCGGAGAAAATTTATTTTGAAAAAATAACATTTTCAATATAATATTCAATAAAATTTTCAAAATTTATTTTTCCATTTTTTTGAATATAATTTAATATAAAATGTAATCTCAAATATAAAGGTTTCTGATTTATCATTTTATTATTTACAAATTAGAATATTAGTTTGAGACAATATATCGAAATAAAATAGGTTTTTTTATTAATTTTGTTATTTTTTTCTTATTTTAATGTTTTTTCGAAATATTTTTTTTTATGTATAAGTTTTTGTTGTCTTTTTATAATTAAAAATTCTTCATAGTGAACGTCATAGTTGAAAGAGTGATTACTCAACATTTTAGTAGGCGTTGTATAATTGATTAAATCAATCGTTTAAATTGTTGAATAAATTCAATCAATTTGAATAAAGCGATTAGATTATTCATAAATTCGAAAAATTTTTGTAATTCGATAGTAAAATTTTTCGATAATATATGTTGCTTCGATATTACGTTTATTATAATATTAAGATTGTACAAATAGCTTGAGTTGATCATTAATCACAAAACAGTGTGATTAACTAGTATTTTTTTACATTGAAACTTTTTATATTATAATTTAAAATAAATTTTTGAAATTTTCATTAATTCTCAGAGTACGGATTGCGAATAGATAGATTAAAAATGATGTATATCAAAATATAAACTTATTTAATTTTCATTATTGGTATTATCACTGATTATTAAATCGATAAAATAAGTAAAAATAATTCAGCCATTGAAACGTGAGAATTAAATATGCAAAATGGCAAATGAATTGTTTTTTTCGTAAAAAATAATTATCTTTATATTAATTAACGAATAAAATTTATTCATATTATTGTCTTAGAATATTATTATAAGTAAATTATATTAAGTAATAAAAAATAAAAAATATTTTTTATTTGAGATTGTTTACAATAAATGTATCTATTAATTAATATTCCTATGAATAAATTAGAAATATTTATTTAACAAATAATATTATATCTAAATGAAATGTATAGAGTATATGCAAGATATATAACTAAACTTGATAGAGTGAAAATATCTCAAGTAAATTTAAAATTATCTATAATATATTATTCTAAAATCTAAAATTCAATTAAAACAATATGTTTTGAATTTCATTGTGTAAATTATAATACCTGCTATTATTATTGATTGCTGTTTAGATAAAAATAAGTTTATTACATTCATGAGTATATTTATATATTTATATATTCAGAAAACTTATCAAAAATTTTAATAAGTTTGGAATGTATTGTTAAAAACATATACATAATATAATATACATATCTTATTTAGTTTATTTATCTAGTTTAATTAATAAAAATGCAATGATATAGGTTAGGTTAGAAAAAATGCAATCGCATATCAGAATATTAATAATATATTCTTTGGACTTTATTCATGATAAATTTATTCACTTTGTTAACTTTAATATATACATATACAATATATACATATAGTCACTTTCATAAAAGTCTATTTATTTAACTGTTTTAATATGTTCTTCACAATGTTATTTTGTTAGGAAATGCATTCACTGTAAACTTCAGCTGAGTCAATCCGGAAACTATAAAATCTGGAGTTTTTACTTACATTTAACTATTTTATAATTTTCTAACGATGCGTTTACGAACATAAATCTTTAGAACTTCTGTTATTTTTCTTCCTTCATTCCAATCACGAGTATTTTCAAAGTGAAAAAAAATACAATTATCATGCGTGAATTCGCGAATCTGTTAAATACACTCGAGAAGTAAAATTCACTGATTCAGATCCTCGTGACCGAAATCGTGACCATTATTTACCTCGTATATATTTAAAGTAACAGATTGGTTAAAAATTGACGTTCTGTTTGCTTTTTGCGCATTAAAAGAATAAACTTCTGAAGAAATATTGGTTATGAAAATATCACGGTTTCGTCGATACGTTTAATTTCATGTAAATCAAATAAAAAAAAAATACATGTATATTAAAAAACGTAATTTATTTATATAAATTCTTTTATAATTGTTATAGTATATATAAATATTATAGCATATATGTTATAGCATTATATGTTATAGCATATAAAATTCTTTTATATTGTTATATATATATATATATAATTTATTATATAAATATATATATATATATATATATAATAAAT